CCTCCCTAGTCTCCTCACCCCCCAAATGGGACATGGGAAATATTATGAACACACTCTGCAAGAAACTGCCCTAAAATCAATAGTCTGTATTGTTATAGAAAAAAAAGTCCCATTTAGGATAAAGTATCGGTAATTGGTACCGGCGAGGACCTGAGAGAAAGTGGTATTGGGACATGCCTACTTGGGACCCCTCTGCCTGGGCACTGCTAGACCTTCCACCTCAAGCCAGGTATGCACAGGTACATCAGTGTAGTACACATCTGACATAGAACGGCTTCTCTCCTGTTAACCCTTTCCTCTCTGCAGGACGTCAGGAATAGTCCGCTACTTTGCAACTGTCACTGTGGTGATCACTTTAAGATTTACAATTGCAGCATAGTTTACAATTTACAATTGCAGCATAGTAATGGTTGTGTCATGCACTTTTGGTGCATGACACAACCATTAAAGATTACATTTCAGAGTGGTGTGCCACACGTGAATGCCGTGCCACACGTGAATGCCGTGCCACCCTCATTCTCAGGCCAACTGATATTCAAAAGTTCACATGTATGCATATGCTGTAAAGTAACAACACTTTTAATTAACACAAGTATAGTGCCGGCACTGACAGAATATTAAGAATGCCATTTTTGACCTGTTCTTGTTGCTTTCCTGGCTTTAATGTTGATCCCATGGATCTAATTGTTTTCCTAGGTTTCATTTAACTCATTAATTAATTGCAGCGCTTTAACAAATGCAAACATACATCAGAGCTGAACACCTAAATAGTTACCTTCATGAAAGTTTCACTTGGCCTCTTAATATTAATCATATGCAGATTTCCGATGACCGGCAGAGCTCTGGGCCCCGGAGGGAATTTCTTGGAGGAAGCATCTTCAGTCTGCGATCTCCAACTTTTTATAAAGTAAAGGACAGCCAAAAATATTGTCACATAAATGGTGAACGCAGAAAGAGTACCGTCCATGGCAATTGTGCTTTTAAGGTGCAAAGTTGACACCAGCTGCTCTTTGAGCTATGTGCCTAGTACTATCTGGAATGCTAGGGGTATTGCATTGTCACTTTTATAACGGCTTCTGTTCCTAACTAAATTTAAGCCAGTCCAGAAATGATTAACCTAGATAAACAGAACCGTGGTTTGCATGTCTGGATGGGGTTTGGATATTGTAACTGTCTCTGTAGTGATAACTTTTGTTGGCTAGCTGAATTACATAATGAAGTATAAAAACACTCAGTTTTCTTTTTTAGGCATTGTTATCTGCAAATAACTGAATTAATATACTTATATACTCAAAAAAGTGCAGCGGACATCAAAGAACACAATGTAATTAAATTAACTCTAAACAAGATGTTTGAGATACAAAGACTCATATCAGTGAGATGTTATTTTCAAATGGGTCCAGCCAAAAAAGTAGACTCATAACACAAGCACATTTGGTTGTGGCGTCATGCGGCATACCAAGGTGATCCGGGACAGCCAGGCCTGATTTCAGCAGTGGGCTGGATGTTAATCTGGCCCTGGTGGCACATTAAACGTTTGTCTCTATCCAGGCTACTATGCAGAAGTGCTGGGTAAAGCTCTTCAGTGGCATTCAAGGTAATTGCAGTGAAAATGGAGCTTGCAAATCCATTGGTACAGTGGCCATGCAATGCATGGTAACACACAGAACTCTGTGTGGTGCACAGGGGCGGACTGACCGTTCAGGCTGTCAAGCACTGCTCAAGGGCCCGTGGCTAGGAGCCTGGCTGTGGCCACAAGCATTGCCTGCAAGGATTGGTAGTCTTTCCAGCGCACATTATTTGGCAACCTGGGCCTCAGTATAAAGTACTACTTGTAGTCCTCTATAGCAGGTGCCATTCTGGATTACAGCAATGCAGAATGGAACCCTCTATAGAGGACTACAAATACCAGCAGTACTTTATACAGCAATGCTGTAGTCCTCTATAGCCTGTGCCATTCTGCTTTGCTGTAAATAGGGATACATCTATACCACACAGCTCCTCCTCCTTCCCATTAAATAGGGATGCACCTATACCACACAGCTCCTCCTCCTTTCCACTGCCCACACAGCCATGGTGAAACCCAGCCGCCCGCACCCCCACACAGCCATTTTGTGGCCCTGCTCCCAAACAGCACTGGGGAGACCGGCACACAGCCATTGTGAGACCCGCACGCAGCCCTGGTGAGGACCGCACAGCCACAGTGAGACCCGAATGCAGCCCAAGTGAGACTTCACATAGCCATGGTGAGATCCTCAGGCAGCCATGGTGAGACCCGCACTGCCCTGGTGAGACCTGCACGCAGACGTGGTGGGACCCACACCTAGCCCTGGTGAGGACCACACAGCCATGGTGAGACCCTCACAGCCCTGGTGCACTCTGTGTCACACCACTGACCTCTGCACTCTGTGTTTGACCTCTGTACTCTGTGTCACACCGCTGACCTCTTTCCGCTGCGTCACACTGCTGACTTCTGCACTCTGTGTCACCCTGATGACCTCTAAACTCTGCGTCACCCCGCTGACCTCTGCACTCTGCGTCACCCCGCTGAACTCGGCACTCTGCATTACAAATGACCTCTGCACTTTGGCAATTTAATATTTCAAATTGATTCGGTTGCATTAGGTCCCGTGTAGAAGCCTTCTGGGGAACCACATGGCACCAGCTTACAGGGCTTCTGCCGCCCACACATCTTCCCCTCCTGAGACCTTGCGCAACCCTCCTGGGACCCTCAGCACCCCTCTTGAGACCTTCTGCCAGAGACATCAGGCCGGCACCTTGGAACAGAGCGCCAGCACAGAGTATGTACCAAATTCATATACTATTATTCTGCATTGTTGTATAATGTATTGCTAGGATTTGTAGTCTGCATTGCATTGATGGTATTCTGCATTAGAGTGTAAGCTCCACTTTACAGATACTTTTGTGACTGGCTCAGTGTTCTCTGTACAGCACTACAGTATATGTCAGAGCTATATGATTGTATAATAATAACAGTGTGTGACTGTGGGGGGGTTTGGGGGGCCAGTGAGATCTGGACCCATCACCCCCCAGAGATGTACCAAGTGGTTGGGAGGGTTGAGGTGTAGGTAGCAGCAAGTTCACAGGAGGTTAAACTGGAACAATGAAGGAGTTCTTGACAGTGAGTGTTTTACAGTAGGGGAAGCATTCCATATGGCAATAGGGGCCAAGAGTGTTTATGCAGGAAACAAATTGAGTGGCAGTTTTACAGGAAAAGCAGTAATACTAGTGGGGGACAAAATGCAAAAGTCTGCCTTTGTGACATGAAAAATGCCTACATCAGGGGTGTGGAATTCCTATCGCCCGACGCCCGGGGCAGGCAGTTTTGGGCGCCGGGCAAGTAGTTTTTTTAATACATTCAGCCCTGCTCCGGACAAGCAGAGCTGAATGTACAGTGGGAGCCGCCGCTCGTTTTCATACAAGTGATCTAATCAGATCACTTGTATGAAGCGAGAATCGGCGATCCTGTCCGCCCCCCCCTCGCCGTGGTTTTCGGGGTCCCCTGTTCCTCTGCTAGACCCGTCACCACGGCACGGGAGCTCACCATAGAGCCCGCAGAGCAGATGAAGAACTTCCTTTCTTCGTCTGCTCTGTGCTATCACCGAGACCGTGGCGATGTGATCACAGTGCCACCTGTCTCGGCAGTCAGGAACTACACAGAACATCAGTTCTGTGTTGGAGGGCAGGTTCCATAAAGAGAACCTGTCACCTCCAAACTATCACATAGAGGTTTTTAACACCATATGTGATAGGAATAAAATGAAAAAAACATTTTTTTTAAAGTTATAAAAAATTATAAAATTATATAGAAATAAAAAAAACTGACAAAGTAAAAAAAAAAAATTAAAAACAACTCCACCGCCCCTGCCATCTGCATACAAATAAACACACGCATAGGAAATTGTGTGTGTGTTGAGTCCTGCTGCCATTTCACTGTGTGCCATATTGTGGTACCTGGGCAGCAGAACTCTCTCACACACACGCAATGTGCATTAAAGGGTAAGTTCACTTTCCCGGGTAATACGGGAAAATGGAATTACCCGATCAAATCTGGCCCGGTCTCTTCTACCCCCCCCCTCACCTGCCAGCTATTCTTAACTTTCTGCAAACAGTCCTTACCCTCCGCCACGTACTGTCCAGCGCATTCCTGCCCTATGCATTTTGAATTTTGCTCGCAAATTGCAAGCACTCATTGGTCAGCGTGGTCAGGTGATTGGCCAGGAAGCCAGCTCCCTGCTGATTGGACGCCAATCAGCATCGAGCTATCTTCCCGGCCAATCAGGTCATTACTCTCCGCCAGGTTTCCTGATTGGCTAGCAAGCTGGCTCGATGATGATTGGCCGGGAAACCGCCTTCCCAGCCATTCACAATCAAGCCGGCCAAACAACATGGAGTCGGCTTCCCTGGCAGTCAGGAAGCCGGGTAGCATCTCATTACCCGCTGCCCAGCTTCCTGATTGCCTGGGAAGCCTGCTCCATGCAAACGGAAGCACCGATACTCAGTGAGTACTGAAAGCAAAATATTGGTACTCATACTCGATACCCAAAAACTGGTATTGGTGCATCCCTAGTTTTAAACTTTTAAAACTTTTTTTTTTGTATTGGGACAAGTAGATTGTCATGAAGGACAAGTAGATTTGACCCCTGCATTAGCCCTTGGACAAGTAGTTTTTTCTAAAATTTCCACACCCCTGCTACATGTACACAAATATCAATAAAAACTTTAGATATACATTAATTGGAGACTGGTCACCAATTAGTTAGAGCAAATACACTGTGTAACTGGTCCCCTAGGTATTCATTGACATACACCAGAGACTAGTTGTGAGGTGTTAATGCACATAATATTAAAACTGGTCGCTTACATAATATAGAGACTTGTCATTGAGGAGCAAAGTGACACTAAACTCAGGAATTAAATCTTAAAATGCATTCAAGTGCCTTAACTATCAACAAAAATGTATCTTATTTGTGTATCACTCAGCTGTAGAACCTCCAATCATCTCTGAATTGGTGCTGACACTGTCCTTCCTTCTGGAGGGGGGCTACTTTTGTTCCCCATGGTCCCTGTGTGAGTTGTAAAGTAGTCACCGCTCCAAGCTCACTCCTGGGATGGACTACAATCACAATACAAATTAGTAAACTAAACATGAGATTGTAGTCCATCACAAGAGTGAGCTTGGATCGGTGACTACTTTACAACACCACTCCAAGCTCACTCTCGTGATGGACTACAATCTCATATTTAGTTTACTAATGTGTATTGTGATTGTAGTCCATCCCGGGAGTGAGCTTGGAGCTGTGACTACTTCACAACAGGCACAGGGACCATGGGGAACAAAAGTAGCCCCCCTCCAGAAGGAAGGACAGTGTCAGCACCAATTCAGAGATGATTGGAGGAGGCAGAACTGAAGAATCTAGGTCATAATAGCTCACTTTGCAAATCGCCTATATTGGTCTACATTTCGAAATACTCCTACCAAATCCCCTGCAGCAAAATTCAACTTTTAGTGAATAGACCTGCTATTTTGAAAATAGTGTGGAGAAATAATTCTGTAACACAACAATGTATATGTGGGAGGAGCTTTTGGGTGGGTGGGGCTTGTATATGAGCAGTACAACAGCAAAAAAAGGTTTTCCTGCACACTCACCAGCCAGCATGCAAAAAAACTTGTCTAACCGCTAAGGTTAAAAACAGAGGTTTAGATACACGTCTTCTGCAGAAAATGTGAAAGCCGCATAGCTGCTCCAAGGCTCCTCTGTGTAGTGCGGTCCTAACTCTAACCTATGAGAGTCTCCACCTTGGAGCACATGCAGCAAAAGATAAAATTGGGTGCAGGTTTGTCAGGAGGAAGCCCAACCTCCTTAAAAGGCACAGAGACGCACAAGGGACCCCGCACATCACAACGCCAGCTTAGACCCCCCA